GGGGATTGGGGTATAATAGAGGGACAGAGAGGGGATTGGGGTATAATAGAGGGACAGAGGGGGGATTGGGGGACAATAGAGGGACAGAGGGGGGATTGGGGTATAATAGAGGGACAGAGGGGGATTGGGGTACAATAGCGGGACAGAGGGGGGATTGGGGTACAATAGAGGGACAGAGGGGGGCATTTGGTACAATACATGGGAAGAAAGGGGATTGGGGTACAAGGAAGGGGAATGGGGAATACGAGTTATTGGGGTACAACAGAGGGGATAGTTGTTAAACAAATGGGCAGATCTTTTAGTGACAGAGGGGGGATTGGGGTACAATAGAGGGACAGAGGGGGGCATTTGGTACAATACATGGGAAGAAAGGGGATTGGGGTACAAGGAAGGGGAATGGGGAATACGAGTTATTGGGGTACAACAGAGGGGATAGTTGTTAAACAAATGGGCAGATCTTTTAGGGGTACGCCAATAGGGGACAGGGGGTATAAGCTGTATGGGTACAGCGAAGGGCAGGGGGGGTTTGGGCACAGACGGGTATGTCAGTCAGTGACCATGTCAGGTATCACACGCACACACGGCGGTCACGCCTGGACTCGGAGCCGTCTCGGGGACGGGATCTGGTCTGACCGGCTCTCGGGAGGGATTCGGGTCCCCTGAGGACACGTCATGATTTTGGATTTCTCTCAGTGACCTTTTCATGTAACCCAACCATCCCCCCTCGGGGGGGCCGCCCCGCTCGACTGACGCAAACCGCCTCGCCACTTTCCCCATTCAGGTGTAATCTCTAAAACCGGTCGGACCAGCCCGCACCTCGCCGAAAAGACGAGGGCTGGAATGCGGAGAATGGGGGCCACACTCCTCTCTCCTCGCCGCTCATTGGCCCCCAACAATCCCGCATGTCACTCAAAAGCTGAAAAGTCCTGTATAATGAATACGCAGCCTCTGGTTTCTAGTATTACATAGTAACTGCGCTTTACAGCTCTTCAGAGAAATATGGAACAGCAAAAGCCTGCTCAGAAAAGTCTAAGTTTCTAATCCGGTGGGTGACAACACCTTCTCCCCTCCCCCGCATGCCGTAATCAACTGGCGGTGGTTTCACAATCGATTGATTGCAGATAACGGCGACGGACCCAAGACGTTGGCGGGAGGTCACCGAGGTTCATTCCAAGTCTTGGCGGAGTTGTCAAGACTTCATCATGAGGCGATCAAAGGGGGGGGGTGTCAGCCGCCGTCTATTGGAGCGCCGACGCGCAAGAGCGGCGGTTGAAGCGTCGGAGCTGTAACGAGATGCCAGGGGAGGGAGGAGAGACGGCTCCTGGGAACGCACAAATGTCCTGGGAATGTCCAGGGGGCGGGGCCTTTTTTTTACCCCGACGCAGGTCAACGCGAGATTCCACCATGAGGATTTCACACGGACCTTCAACCTGCGTGCCTGTAAATGTACGCCGCCAATTTCTGTACCCGCCCCCGACGCATATCCTGCACCCTGCATGATGGGACCACCACTACGGACAAAACCAGGCGCCATCTTTAAAAGGGGCCGCGGAGGAAAGAAAAAAACAAAAACTTCCTGCCGGCGTGCGTCCTGGGATCAGGGCAACGTGTTGGAGACATTAAACCAGCAAAGCCGACAGGAAACACCTGGAAGGGGAGGGGCTGCGGTGCGGCAAGTCGGGAGTTAATGAGGCACGGCGGCGCACATGAGAAAGTCATTAGAGGCCGGGGCAACGGCGGCAAGGGCGCTAAAAACGCCGCATTGCCCGCAAAGAGCAACAGCGCTGGAGGGGTTAAAAAAACGTTTTCATGTGTTTTTATTTTTTTTAAATAAAAAGCAATTTTATTAAATTTAAATTATAATATTTATTTTTTCTTCGTTCCAGCGCCAAACACTTCCATCAGGAAAGGGCGGCGATCCCGCGTCTGTGGAACACCCCCGACCAGGGAAACAACCAATCAGGCAACTGGAAAAAAAGAAACCCACGATCGACGCTGTGCCCACCGTACCAACCCCCTCCCCGCGGTGAGAAGTGTTGCAATTTCTGCAAACGCAAGCATGGCAGACTGGCGACGATTTCTAAAAGCCTCTATGAATAACCGATTCGTAAACTTAAAACGCGCACGTACAAAAAGCCGCGCAATAAAACGAAACCGCGTCAGGTGACTCCGAAATGTAGATTTCAGATAAGTATCCGTGTGCAGAAAATATCGGCATCATTCACCGCTACCAGCTCTTACTGACCGCCGTGGTAACAAAAACGCTACAGCGGAGCCAAATGTGCGCAATAGTTCAGTACAGAAAGATCAGGAAACCGCAGATAGAGCGTTCCAGAGAAAAGGGGAAAAAAAGCGTACTTTTTATGACGCGAGCGCACGCGGGGATTGAAATTTCCGGAGACGGCGGTCTGCCGAGTACGGTGACCCCCAGATATGCCATGTGTAGAAGACGTGCCCTCATACATCTCAGGACGGCGTACTTAACGGCGAATATTCCAAAAAAGTGCGCACGGAAAAGTTGGACGCGGCCTCCGCCAAAAGGTTTGATTGGCACAGAAATCAGATTTCGGGACGCGGGATCGGCCCAGAAGCCACAAAGGCGGTTTTCATGGAGCAGCGAGGAATTCACAGAGTCAGCGGACCATCAGATTTTGTTTGTTGTCTGACGACTGTCTGACGGCAAAACTTCTAAATTAGCGCTGAGGGAGGTCTGCTAGACTCCTGAGAGCTCCGCCCCCACAGGGGTCACCGCCATCACAGCCATGCCATGACGGCCACGCTCAGCCAAGACCATCCGAGAGAGAGAGCCGTCAGCGGAGACCACCATGGACTACAGACCAGAGGGGGCAGAGAGGAGATATTAGAGTGTCAGCTCTACAGCCAAAGTCTACAGATTAGGGGGGAGGGATCAGACTGCAAATATTAGAGTGTCAGCCCTGCAGCTACAGAATCTGGGAGGAGATGGCAGATATTAGAACGTCAGCTCTTCAACCAAGGACTATAGACCGTGGTGGGGGGCAGACTGCAAATATTGGACTGTCAGTTCTGCTGCCAAGGACTGAAGAGCATAGGGGGCAGACCACAGATATTAGAGTGTCAGATCTGCAGCCAAGGAATACAGACCAAGGGGGGCAGACTGCAGATATTAGAGTGTCAACTCTGCAGCCAGCTCAGGACATTCTACATTCTCTTCTAATGAGGACTCTGGCACTGGTGACCGCAGAACCACAACTCTCAGCATGCGCCCAGCGACTGGAGAACTACAACTCACAAAGTGCACCTACAAGGCCAGTCCTGGGGGGAAAGAATGGAAAGCCGCAACATTAGTCCACTGCCTGAAGATCTACAACTCCCAGCACATCCCTGTGTGCTGAGGGACTGTAGCTGCCAGCATGCCACAACGTATGAGGAACCACAAGCCTCAGCATGCACCCAGTGTTATAAAACTACAACTCCCAGCCTCTCCACACATCTTAACAGTCAGGCAGGTGAGGAAAGGAAAGCCCCAGGATGGGTCACCTGGCTGAAGAACTACAACACCAAGCATTGAGGGACTGCGAGTCTCTGCAGCCTGAAACTAGGGAACTACAACTCCCAGCAAGTCTCCGTGTACACACAAACTACAAGTCCCAGCTTTCCCTTTATGTAACGAGTTAATCTCTTACACCGATCATGCTCTGACGGGCCACCTGCAAGTCATTCCAATGCTGGCCCTTTAAGAAGTGGTCTGGACACAAGAGCTGGCACTCATCCTGGCCATCCCCCGACTTCCATCACAGCATAATACAGATTCAGCCTCCAACAGGATATCGAATTACCACTGGGCAGCAACACAGCCTGGCCAGCAGAAGCCAACCGGTGGCATCTCCACAGCCTCCTACACCACCAATGTCCATGATCAGCGAGTGCCATGTGACCATCTCCAGTGCCCCCAATGCCTCCCCTGGGAACCTGCCCCCCCCCCGCCCCCCCGAAGGGTTAAGATGATTAGAGCAGATTAGGATTCTGTAATCCGCTGCAGATCCACCACAATGGCAACGACAGTGGCTGAGGCGCAGTACAATTCTGGAACTGGTGGAAAAGCTATTTGCAGTCCTCCTGTGGAATGGTGACCTCTAGGGGGTCACGGCACAGAGGGGGGGTTAACCTCTAGGCACCGAGACAAAGGAAGCATCTGCAAAACCGGGGTCCCCTCCCCCCCAAAAAAAAAACACGAAGGGGTGCTCATGTAGACTCCATTGGGGAGGGTGACACCATCATTTGTTATGGCTGTGGCAGTCAGGTGGAGCTGGAGATTTTGGTGGGGGAGAGATGAAGGACACCAGCCTAGGATGTGACATGAAAAATCTAAAATAAAAGTTTGGGGTGGAGTTCACCTTTAAGAATTTTCAGAAGACATATGTTCTTTATAGCCAAGAGGAGAAGTCTGGGAAGGGGCAGTGACCACTTAGATATAATTAGGAGTCTTTGAAGGGAGGCGAGGGGTAGTGACCACATACAGAGGAGGAGCCGGGAATGGGGATGGGCAGTGACCACAAAACAGAAGGAGGGGCAGTAGCCACATTCAGAGGAGGAGTCCAGAAAGGGGAGGGGCAGTAACCACAGATATAATAAAAGGAGGGGCGGTGACCCCAAACAGCTATAATAGGAGGGGCAGTGACACTTAGGAGTCTGGAAAGAGGAGCAGTGACCATATACATAAAAGGAGGAGAAGTCTGGTAAGGGGAGGGGGCAGTGACCACATACAGACGTAGAGTCTGGAAGGTGAGGAGGCAGTGACCACATACAGGATGTAGAGTCTGGAAGGGGAGGGGCCTGACCACATACAGGATGTAGAGTCTGGAAGGGGAGGGGCCTGACCACATACAGGATGTAGAGTCTGGAAGGGGAGGGGCCTGACCACATACAGGATGTAGAGTCTGGTAAGGGGAGGGGGCAGTGACCACATACGGTGGCAAAATCTGGTTAGGGGGATGGGGCAGTGACCACATACAGAAGTGGAGTCTGGTAAGGGGAGGGGCAGTGACCACATACAGAAGTGGATTCTAGTAATGGGAGGGGCAGTGACCACATACAGGGGCGGAGTATAGTAAGGGGAGGGGCAGTGACTACTTACAAATATAATAATAGTCCTTCCCAGCTTGGAACTCGTAGCCCAGCGAGAACGGGGTGAACTTCTGGATCTTCTCAGAGAATTTGATCGGCCCCATGGGTGCGTGGGGGCGGTTACACTCCCAGCGCTTGTTGGCGCGGGGCGCCTGGTAGCAGCCATCGTAGGCGTCGCGGTCCACCATGTAGAGGACAAAGCTCTCCGTGTGCTCCTCGGGGACTCGGCTGTCATAGTGCGGGCAGTAGACGTCCAGGTAGTCGTTGATCTCAACCTGCACCGTGTAGTCCTTCAGGAACCTGCCGGGAGAAGAGACGGTTAGTGAACACCATGACAAAGCGAAGAGACAAAGAAGAACATTTGCGTGTGTGAGACTTTAACTGTGAAGAGATTTCCTCTCACTTCTTGTTGTGTCTCCAAGACAGGAAGTAAAGGGAAATCTCCCCCAATGGGACACCAACCATTCACCCAAAACATAAAGTAAGAGTTGCGCTCGCTCGTCATGTGGTGTCTCGGGGCGTGCGCGGCGGCAGTCCGGAGGGAGGCGCTCCGCCCGCACACGGTGTGTTCTCAGGGCTGTACGGCCAGGAGAGTAAATATTTGTACAAATGAGTCGATGTGCCAAAGAGGAATGTGCGAGAGGTCAGCGAGGAGGAAGAAAATGTTTATTTTTTTCCATAAAACAAAGCAAAACAGAGCCCCCCCCCCATTATTACACACACACAATGGGCCGCGTTGTAGGCAGTGAACCAACAGTCGGCATCTCTATATAACCTCGGCGTGACGAACGCACAACATGTCCACACACACACTGACACGCTTTGTCTCGTCTCTCTCTGGTGTTCAAACAATTTCTGGGCAGAAGAAGATGTTAAACAAATAACTCGCCTCTTCTTAATCCCGGGACGCCGAAAATGACAAGCCGGGGGGGATGGGGGCATGGAGCGGAATCACCCCAAGAGTTGCTGAAGCAGCAGAATTCAACAAGCTCCCTTTATACGCCAATCCCGAAACATGCAGCGGTGATGGGTGACCAGAGCACGCCCAACCATCACCCAACGCACATCCAGCCTTCACCCCCAACGCACAGCCATCGCCCCGACGCACAACCAGCCATCGCCCCGACGCACAACCAGCCATCGCCCCGACGCACATCCAGCCATCACCCCGACGCACATCCAGCCATCACCCCGACGCACATCCAGCCATCACCCCGACGCACAACCAGCCATCGCCCCAACGCACAGTTATCCAAAATCTGTAGTCCGAGAATGGACGCACACAATGCAATCACTGACCAATCTGACTGGTGAGGGCCAGAGAGCGCGCATCAGAGAGCGGGCAAACCTAATAGCCAGAGAGAGCTCACCTAAGAGCGAGCACCCGAAAGAGTGAGCGCACATGCGTCCAAGAGTAAGCACATGCGAGAGCGAGCCGGAGAGTAAGCGCGCGCCAGAGAGCGAGCTCGGGCCAGAAAGCGAGAGAGCAAGCGCGCCAGAGAGTGAGCAAGGGCGGTTGTACCAGAGAGCAAGGGTGAGAAAGTATGTCAGAGCGAGCACACCTTATAGCGAGAGAGCACCAGAGATAGCGTCCGAGAGTGCGCAAGGGAGCGTGCACAAGAGAGCAAAGGTGAGAGAAAGCACGTCAGAGCGAGCACATCTTGTAGCGAGAGAGAGCACCAGAGAGAGTGTGCCCAAGATTGAGCGCACGCAAAAAATCAAGTGCCAAAGAGAGAGCACGAGGAAGCGTGCCAGAGTGCGAGGACTGCACATGTGCCAGAGAGCACATGCGCCAGAAAACAAAACTGTGCGCACCAGAGAGCGCATGAGAAAGATCATCAGAGAACTAGAAAGGGCGCCAAGAACGAGAGAGCGCGAGGAAGTGAATGATGGATGAAGTTCATCATGTGCGGCCAGAAGAAGCTACGGGTGACAACGGGCAATGTTCTCCCCTGGGAATCCTAGACAGGAAGTGAGCTGTGCCCCGGAATATACTTCCCCTCATTCTCTTTGACATACTTTCACCCCAGACACACGCCTGACGCGCACCCACACATCTGGCCATGGATGTTCCAGGAGGCTCCTTTACACAACGCAGCGCTTCATCCGCCTTCAGTGGCCCTTTAATCGGCGTGTAGCGAAGGTCGCCTCGCCCCATGGCACCGCGCCACGCTGTGGAACACGCGCCCTGCAGGTGAGGAGTGATGAGCCGAGTGAGCAATCCAGGGAGAAACAAAACAACGGATCCATTGTCCAAAAACGCCGGCACCAACGCTGGAGGAGAGGTATGGGGTGGGAGAGGACGAGGCAGCGCAGGACCGCAGACAGGGAAGGTGCGGGGGTTCCACCACAAGCGCGCGGCAGGCAGGGCCGGTGCCGTACGGCTGATTTGAGGTGCGAAGGTTGCCAGGCCAATCCATTCACATCAAATTGCTGACGCAAGGGCTGGGGCCACACACCTCGCAATCTGTGTGTACAATCTCAACCTTCCATTTTTTTTTGTGGCCAGAGGATACCAATTAATCAAAATGGCTTCATCTTGGCCCCGCCCCCGGCGTATCCCAACGGCGAATGTTCCTTATGGTAGCCAACTTTGTTACTTTTCACCGGAAGATCTTTCACGGTGTAACATTGTTACTTTTTTTTTTTCTTTGGTAGGACAACATTGTTACCGGCGAATCGCGTAGTACAACCAGAACCGACCCATCGGATCTCCCCCGTGTGTGGCGCGCAGCGGCAAAGAGGAAGTGGCCGATCTGCAACACAATGAGTGGAGTATGGAGGGGACTCGGCGGCCCCTGTAATGAGTTCTGGCAGAGCAGAGAGAGGGGGGAGGGGGGCGCACGGAGGGGGAAATGATCAGAGAGAGAGGGGGGAGGGGGGCTCAGGGCAAAGAAACCAAACCAGATTGAAAGAGAAACTCCAGAGAGGCTGAAACATCGCAAGAAAATGCCAAATATGTTAATACAAATCAGATTTCGTCCCGTGAGCGAGTTCACGGCGCTACAAACTCGGCGGCCAGAAAAACAGAAACCCCTGTGCGGCACAGAGAAGGACCCAATTACAGCTGCCGTATATGAAATTGGGCGACTCCACAAGGGTCCCCGAGCGCCCTGCCGTTAAAGCCAATGCAGACAGAGCTTGGCACGTAGAGGGCAGCGCCCAATCTTAGTATGGCGCAATTCCCAACGCTACAACCGACCGACATCTCCCACACTCCCCCGCTAAGGGAGGGTGAAGTCTCCTCCCCCAACGCATTCTGCTCCATTTACTGTACACCATCAAGGGGCCCAGCAGTTCTGGCGCCATGGAAGATGGCGTCTTCTATAGTCCACCAAAAAGGTGTAGGCAACGTTGGCACTTGTAGAACTACAAGTCTCATGACTGAGCCACAGACGCACCCAGCCATAAACCCCCCATCTCTCCGTACAGGCCTCCCGTAAACCCCCCCCATCTCTCCGTACAGGCCTCCCGTAAACCCCCCCCATCTCTCCGTACAGGCCTCCCGTAAACCCCCCCCATCTCTCCGTACAGGCCTCCCGTAAACCCCCCCCATCTCTCCGTACAGGCCTCCCGTAAACCCCCCCCATCTCTCCGTACAGGCCTCCCGTAAACCCCCCCCATCTCTCCGTACAGGCCTCCCGTAAACCCCCCCCATCTCTCCGTACAGGCCTCCCGTAAACCCCCCCCATCTCTCCGTACAGGCCTCCCGTAAACCCCCCCCATCTCTCCGTACAGGCCTCCCGTAAACCCCCCCCATCTCTCCGTACAGGCCTCCCGTAAACCCCCCCCATCTCTCCGTACAGGCCTCCCGTAAACCCCCCCCATCTCTCCGTACAGGCCTCCCGTAAACCCCCCCCATCTCTCCGTACAGGCCTCCCGTAAACCCCCCCCATCTCTCCGTACAGGCCTCCCGTAAACCCCCCCCATCTCTCCGTACAGGCCTCCCGTAAACCCCCCCCATCTCTCCGTACAGGCCTCCCGTAAACCCCCCCCATCTCTCCGTACAGGCCTCCCGTAAACCCCCCCCATCTCTCCGTACAGGCCTCCCGTAAACCCCCCCCATCTCTCCGTACAGGCCTCCCGTAAACCCCCCCCATCTCTCCGTACAGGCCTCCCGTAAACCCCCCCCATCTCTCCGTACAGGCCTCCCGTAAACCCCCCCCATCTCTCCGTACAGGCCTCCCGTAAACCCCCGATCCCCATAATGGAGTTCCCATGACAAGCCATGGAGGAAATAGGAGCGGCAGTGTAACAATTCTTTAGTTCTGTAAATGGCAAATGCCGAAAGCCAAGGCGTAGAGGCTGGGCTTCCATTTTTCTAGCCACAGGCTGTACCGAGACCCCAACAGACCTCCCCCATACGGTTTTGTTTGGACACTTTGGCCTTATTAGTAGTAACCTAGCGAGTGGCATTAACTGTACATTCCAGACACGGTGGGGGCCCCTTAATGCAGCTACTGACCCCCCCTCCCCCACCATTAGAGACCGCTCAGCTGTGACACATTACAGCCCCCCTCCCCTTTCACCATCACTAGTAGAACTCTCACAGCTGGAGTTCCCACTTCACAGCATCCCAATCACCACCGACCACAGGGGCGCCATACAGATGGGCGATCACTCAGGACAGTGCTGGAGCATGACCGCTGCACCTGCTGGGGCCCTGGCCTGTGATCAGTGTAGCACCAACGCACCCCGCGGTGAGGTACAAAAGGAGGGCAGGATGCATTCTATCCCCCCAAAAGAAGAAGGATTCCAAGAGTAGTCAGCCCTGCGCCGGGCACCAATTTTTCATAACACATCCCCGCTAAACATAGAGTGGCCCGAGGTTAAAAAGTCAGACGCTTCAAAGGGAACCTTCAAATTTAGCCACAAAACACCATGTCCCGGCAGAGCGCAACCTCAAATTAAATGTTTCCTACAGGGCGGGCCGTGACAACGTGGAGGCTACAGGGCGTGAGGCCCCTGCAGGCCAGAACCCCCACTTCTAGGCTCATGGTCGCACCCCTCAAAAAATAAAAAGGAAGGAACTTTTGGAGAACATTTCAGCCGCTTTGTAGGCAAAGAATAAAACGTGTCGGATCATGCCGGATGACACAAGAGTATTCCGCCCGTTATCCCTCCCATCGTTTATGAAGAAGGATGCAGAGAGCAGAATCCACTGAAGTATACACACCCCGAGACTTCAAATACCCAGAACATCAACAGAGGGACCCGGGGACACGGGAGGGACGTGGGAATTCCATGTACAAAGAACAGGGACCAGGCTTAGGACAGAGGGGAACCAAGGAATGTAGTTT